GAACGGGCAAGATTAACGTGGTACAAATATTTGGAAAGAGTGTTCTAGTCCCCAGTTGTCTTCTGCCGAAACTGCGACTCAGGTACAGGATTGGGAACGTTGGAAGCTCTGTTTGACACGCCTGCCTCCGCGACCCGAAAGGAGAAACGGTCGGGGAAGATGTAGTTAAACTAGAAAGCTTCTAGTGGAGGAAAAAAGCGGCTCTACTGAACACAAGTAGGATATGGAGAGCAGGACATGCTGTATTAAGCTTCAGATTCCAGATAATGTGCTTTTAACTTAAACTTTTTTGTAAAAGTGATCTAGATGCTCAGGAAAAAACTTTCAGGCATACAATCTGCAGGAATAGCAAATAAACGCTATCTCACATCCACGCTAGTTATAAATCTAAGATCCCGAAGAGCCGTATCGATAGATATATGTCTATAGTTCTCAATAGTAGCACTATAAAGTAGGTATGATATACCATAGGAATGATTTACCATTAACCTGAATCTGTGCTTAGACCTCCGCTGAAACTTATGAAGAACTTCAGGAATTTTAGCTAGTCACAAACTCGCTATCCATGTAACAGGAAAAAACTGTATTTCAAACTTAAGAACGATTTATCATCTTTTCACATTAACAACTTAGTCCAATCCCAAGTCTGATCTAAACAGAGACTGCATTCCAAAAGTCAGAAAAAGAACGCAAGCACCTGAGAAGACGGAGATAACACTTCTTAGACTACGCATCAGAGAAACAAGGAAGCAGCTTGTTCTCCAAGAAACTAATCGCACAGAGGTTCGTCTTCACCGAAGACTACGACAGCTTAATACACGATCTCCAACGTCAAAACTACAATTTTTCGATATAAGACTATCCAAATTCAATCTTCTTAAAGAAATTAAAATCGTCGTTTGCACATACTGTAGTACTTTCCGTTAATGATAGCAATAAAGCTGCAATAAACCAGGTCAGGTAATAAGTCAGGACCAACTTTCCAAGCAACAGATTACCGTCATAAAGGCTGAAACGACTGTAATGCAAAGACGTCTTTACCGTAATTCAAACTATATGTAACAAATATTTAAGTTCCCCGATAATAGTTCAATAAAGATATTAAGAGAATACAACAGACTTTAATAACCGAAATGAAGCCACTTTATTTGAACTGGACTGCAACAGAATTTAAAGCCAGTCGAAATCTAAAATCAAATAATATTATAATTAACAAGCCAGATAAATGCAACGCCACGGTGGTTATGGATAAGTTATGCAATGCCAAAAAATGTCATGCCGTGACCAACCCGATTTATCCTGACATAATGCGAAAACGCAAATGAAGCAAAAGCGCTAAGAATCACAAAAGAACTATACCAGAACAAGGGGAGGACAGCCTGGCGCCGGATGTCTACGTTGGTTAATTTTCTCCGTTTTCGTCATTCTAATTTGTTTCATCTGAAACATTACACGGTCATGCATAGGATTAGCTTCATAAAACAAACCTTGTTTCTTCGAGCAACCTTCTTCAAAGCAAATGCACCTTTCTTCTTAATCACTTTAACGATGACTCGTCCTGAAATAAGCCACCATCCGCGGATCGTAATTTGAGCAACAAGCAAAGATCTAATTGGCTTATTAACACGTCTGTTACATCAAAATTTTATCTGAACTACTGGCTTGGGTTTGAGCATTACTTAAGTGATGTAACAATTCTCGGGATGTCTGTCGTCAATATCAAGTATATAGGCAACAACGCCAAGGGCATTCGAACCTTCTGCAGAGGAGCTTGATTCGTAGGTATCATTTCGCTTAACAAACTACGACTTTGTGCGCATGTTCGCATGTGCCTGGAAGAAACTTTCTTTCTGTTACTTATCTTGTACCACCAGTTGCCTTCTGCAAGAAAGTGCGCAAGAACAGCATAAAAGCCGCTAATTCCTAGTTTCAATGT